CCTTTACCTCCTGTGTCGGACCACGTGACTGTAATCCTGCTTCCTGTTGGCTGGGAAGACCTGGTCTGGTGTGACTGCTCTGAAATAATGGTCTCAGAAGGCTGAGATGGGTCAAGGGATGATTATCTTGGGTGGCCAGAGGCAGCTTTTTTAGGGAGTGGATCCAAGCCATACTTAGAGTGGGAAACTAAGGTTTTAACCTTGGGGAAGGAGATGATTGTCAGGTCTGAGTGGTATGGAAGGACAGGAGGCAATTGACTAGGACAAGAGGCAACTGGCAAAGCTAGGACAGTTGGGAGAAGTTGACAAGAGAGAATGAAACTACCTAGACCAAGTGGTTTAAGACTAAGGTGCTATATCACAAAATAACACTGGTTTATTTGGTGGCTTGAAGTTTCCCTGTGAAACCTGGAGCTCCTCTCTATGTTGGCCAATGGCCAGAATCATGATGGTTGGTAAGGAAGGGAAGTTTTAGATTAGGAATGAATTATTGATGGAAGGGGTATTCTGTGATCCAAATATATGGTGTCACTACACAGCCTGGGGAGTGGTTAGGTATGTGGCCCAACAGAGGTAGTGGTATTTGAGCCACGCTTTACTGATAAACAAGGGTTCGGTAAACAGAGAAATATGGGGAGAAATATTGCAGAGATATACAATAGCATAAATGGAAGCAAACTGGATAATACAGGTTATATTTCAGAAATTATTTTAGTAGCTAAATATGGCAGTATTATGATTTTCTGATATGATGAGAAGAGGGAAAAATAAGATTGGTAAACAGTTGCGTTAATTTCAAGTCACATTGTTGATGACTTTGGATGTCAGACTGAAGGCACTCAGCGAGAGAGTCCTAGAATAGTGAAGTTCTAAGTACAATGGTATTAATCTACATATACATATACATATACTTATTTAATTATTTAATTTAATTTAGTTTAATTTAATACACATATTTAATTCCATTACCTTCTGAGATTCCACCAAAACTAAAGAAAAATTATTTTTTAATTTAAATGGAAAAATGTAACAGCACAAGAATAAGAAAGGAGACATCAGTTTGGGATCTGAAAAGTAGATGGATATGTGGTAACTCAAGGCAGGACAGCCACATCTTACCTGTTTGTGCAGAAACCCAAAAAACAATCCAGTTTATATTCCAGAATCATCAAAAGCCTCAGGAACTGGCAGGCCTGAGAACCAGTTGAGGGTGAAGGTTGGGGAAAAAATAAGGACCCAAATAAGGAAGACTGGGTAAAAGTTGTTTGATAGTAAGTTAGAGCTGAGCCCTTCTTTCCCACTCCACACTACTGGGCAACTTTCCTCTCCCACCCTGGCAAAAGTCTAGGGTCTGTTCTCTGGAGAGGGTAAAGCAGAAAATGTTTCAGTTGGGAAACCTCTTATACATTCGAAGATGCAGTTGCCATATTGAAAACATATAGATTAAGTACATTTATTCATACTGAATAAAGCCTGCAGAGACCCCACCACTATCACCTGTACACGCACATACGTACACACACATGCACACACACACACACACACACATACACAGATCTCTTTTCTCTCAGTTGGCTCCTAAAGTGCTGATTGCCAGACTTTCCCCTTCCAAGCAAGATACTAGAAAACTACCAGCAGAAAAAGAAAGATCTAAATATGGTTTGCTACCAAAGGCCCACCTAGATCCCTTTACTGTAATGCTAAGATTAACAAGCTCATCCAAAGACTTGGGTCCTCAAAACTAATTTTTAATTTCTTACTCTTAATCATGAACAGACAATCAAGTTTCATCAGACATCTGAGGAATCCTCCAACACGGATAATATAGACCAAAGGAAACAAACAGAAAGAAACATCTTGAAAGACATAGAGATAAGGGAGGAAAAATAAGACTTAAACAATCTATCAACATCTTCAGAGAGTCCAGAGATGATATTGCAACAATGAAGAACAGACTCCTTGCAGAAAGAAACATTCAGAGAACAAAAAAGAGCACTTGAAAATTAAAATATGATAGCAGAATACAACAGAAAGTCTGGAAGATAAACTTCAGGAAATCTTTAAGATATAGAAAAAAGGCAAAAAGATGGGAAAGAGAAGAGAAAGATAAGAAAATGAGAGGATCAGTCTACGAGATCCAACACAGGAATCCATATCCTAGAATGAGAGATGAGTGAAATTGAGGGGAAAAAATAATCAATGAAATAGATCAGAAAAATTTCCCTAGAGTGAAGGACATGCATTTTCAGACACAAAAGGCCATCTTAGTGTAAATCACAGTACATGAACCTGTGTTTCATTACAAAATTTAAGAACACTGGACATAGAAGATCTTAAATGCTTCCACATAAAAAGATTTGGAGTCAGAATTTCTATAGCTTTCTCAGGAACAATACTGAAATTAGAGACAATGGAAATAATTTTTAATCCAAAATTCCATATCAAGCCAAATGATTAATTGAGAGAGTAGGATAAAGACATTTCAGATACACAAGATCTCATTAATTTCCCATATATCCTTCCTCAGAAAGCTACTGATATATATGTAACAACAAAGTGAGGGAGTAAATCAAGAAAGACAAAAACAATACACAGGAAATGGGAGATCCAGTTCAGGGTGACTGTTGTTGCAGTTGATTAAGCATCTGACTTGGTTTCAGCTCAGGTCACGATCTCAGGGTCATGAAATTGAGCCCCGCTTGGGCTCCTGTGCTTAGTGTGGAGCTTACTTGAGATTCTCTCTCTTCCTCTGCCCCTTCCTCCACACCCAATCCCCTGCTTGCAAACCTCCTCTATTAAAAAAAAAAACAAACAAACTGGGGATCCCTGGGTGGCTCAGCAGTTTAGCTCCTGCCTTCGGCCTGGGATGTGATCCCGGAGACCTGGGATCGAGTCCCACGTCGGGCTCCCTGCATGGGGCCTGCTTCTCCCTCTGCCTGTGTCTCTGCTTCTCTCTTTCTCTCTCTCTCTCTGTGTGTGTGTGTGTCTCATGAATAAATAAATAAAATCTTAAAAAAATAAAATAAAAATAAACTGTGTTTAAGGATAGTGCAGGATTCTATATCTCTAAATATTTTTTCTTATGGAGTGAACAGGCAGGCTTGGTGAAAGCCAATGGAATCTCACTTGTTTTTAATATGAAGGATTATATGGAAGGCTGACATCTTTCTTAATCACCTTAGCAGTCTTATGTTTAGGCTGTTTAGTTGCTCGGGTGTAGAATAAAACCAAATCTACCTGAATAAGGGGAAAATATGTACACACACATTTGTGTGTATGTGTATATTTACGTACATTATTTTTACACAGGTATATGTACACACACACAGGCATGGTATGTCTATGGAAAGATACATAAGAGTCTGAAGATCATAGTTGCCTCCATGAGGCTAGGGAAAAGGAATGTGAGGAAATCCTTTTTTCACTATTTATCTCTTTGTTCCTTTTGATGTTTTGGACAGAATGCAGGTTAAAAGAGACAGTAGACTGGAATCAGTTGGGTAGTGATTGTCACACTCTTGGATTGAGGAAATAGGATCTGAATGAGAAGAGAAAGAGTGGTTGCTGAAGTCAGAAGAATTTTTGCTTGGTCTTGTGATAACTAAATGTGGCAGGAAGGTGGGATGACAGTGGGTACTGAAGGTAGGAGGACAGCAGTCAGAGATGAGTCTTTGCTTTCTAGCTCAGGTTACCAAATTTGAGAACACTGAGTGGATGAAACTGGCTTCAGAATGGCAGAGGAAGGAAGGTTGATTGCAAAAGAATAAATGGTAGGGGTGGAGGGGGAGGAGTTGGAGGCAGTAGTTATAGTTCACTTTCCCTCTGACCAAAAACTCATTTCCGCGGGTCATATCATGTGCCTTATCATCCACAGCTTCTGGACTTATGATGGAATGGCTTCTGGAAAACTCAGTGATGCATTCTCTGCAGGCACCACCTCAGAGGGCTGAGGGAGTGTAGGATGTGATATAGGCACTCAACCTGCAACCAGCTAAAATGTTGTCCCTTCTATGGCTGGAAAACAAAGGGGTAGAAAGAATGATGCTTTGCAAAATTTTCTCCAGCTCTGTCACTTACTAAGTTAGTGACCTTGGGTTAATTGCTTTGACCTGTCCATGTCTAGGTTTCCTCATCAACAAAATGGTCATAATATCCCAATACCTACATCACAGGGCCATTGTGGGGAATAAATGGAATAATGAGTTTAACAGTTTAGAAGAGTCCCTGGTACAAGGTAAGTACCAGGATTGTTAACTAGTATTGTTAGTATACTTCATGACCTCTTTTGAGAGCCTTTTGGCTTTTCTTTTCCATTTTTTAAAATATTTATTTATTTGAGAGAGAGAAAGAGAGCACGAGTGGGAAGGGCAGAGGGAGAGGGCGAGAATCTCAAGCAGACTCCTCGAGGAGTGTGGAGCCCAACATGGAGCTCGATCCCATGACTCTGAGATCATGTCCTGAGCGGAAACCAAGAGTTGGATGCTCAACCCACGGAGCCACCCAGATGCCCCTTGGCTTTTCTTTCTCCAGATTTGGAACATAGAAAATCTAGAGAATTTAATATACAAAGGGGGAATATTTTCACCAGAGGGCATGTTAAAGTTTCATTCAGTCTTTGAACAAATAGCTTTGAGGTACTCTTGGGTGTCCAGGCTTCCTTGGTGAAGAAATTAGACACACTGTTGCCCTCACAGAGCCTAGAGTTTTCTTTTTTCAGAATTTCCCTGGGTCTCCTCAGATGCTATATATGTATATATATATATATATTACATAAAGCAATATATGTTAGTGCATATATATGCATTTATTTATTTTTAGTTGAGGTGTAATTGGCATATAACATTGTACTAATTTTAGGTGAAGGACATAATAATTTGATACATGTGTATATTGTGAAACGATCAGCACAGTAAGTTTTGCTAACATCCATCACCACACCTAGGTCCAAACTTTTCTTGTGATGAGAACTTTTAAGATTTACTCTCAGCAAGTTAAAAATATACAATACAGTTATATGCATTTATTTTGTAATCAAGGTATTTTAAGGAATATTTAACATTGGGCTTTTGTTAAATGTGTACATGAGCACATAATTTAAAAAGTCACAAACTGAAAAGCAAATATTCCTTTTGTAACTCCAAATTTCCCAGTTGTCCTCAGAAAGAACTTCCTTGGCTTGACTTTTTTATGTCTCGTAACTGAGATAAACATTTAAAATCATATGAGACCCTCCTCTCTTATATAATGGTTAAGGGAAAAGAGAAGCGCAGGGGTTTGGGGTAAGTCAGAGGCTTCTAGCAAGGGTGACTGGAGAATGAAGCTTCCACGGAGACATGAAGAGGGAGGAAGTATATCAGGAAGACAGAGGAAGTAACATGGGTTGAGCAGTACTGTTGAAGTAGAAGCAGAAAATGGAGACCTTTAAATCAATTTAAGAAAAATTTATTAAGAGCTCACTGTATAAACCATGTTAGGAACCAACAAGACGCTTAGAGCCCAATGACGGCAGAGGCAGGGAAGAACACATAAATGGAAATCTTACAAGGCAAGCACGGTTAGCACAGCTGTCTACAATCTTCTAGGTTTCTTTGTGTAGAATAGGAAGAAATATTTCTGTGGATCAGGCCTCCCAAAGTTCTCTCTCTTGGTTTGGACTGAGGCTGCTCCATTCATTAGTGATGATGTCTTAGAGCCAGGGTCACTTAACTCATTTCTCCTGGGCTAGCATGGTCCTCTGGTGCACCCAGTTTTCCTATGGTTGAGAATGACCATATAGATAGTCCTCAGACACAAATCTGTGAGCCCTGCTCTGAGCCAGCGGATCCCTTCCTAGCACCCTCACCAGCTACATTGGCCACTGGATGATTTGCATGTGGGTCTTCCTAATTCCACTCTAGCTCTTTCTCTTTCAGTCCTAAATTGAAAGAGTCCTAAGCCTCCTTCCATTTATCCCATTATCAAGGTGATAGCTCTCCCCGCCCCAACTCTGCCTCCAGCCAGATGAAACATCACAATAACTTAAGTATTATCCAAACTTCTCACCAACTACCAGGGAAGATGCTGTCTGTCTTACATCTTTTTGGACAGACGGTTCACCTGTTTCTTGTCCCAGGGCTTGCTGGAGGACTGGACAGATAGGATATCCATGCACATCTTGGTCTGTCAAGAGCTTTCCTTTTTTTTTTTTTTTTTTCTTTTTTCTCTTTTAAGTATTGTGATCTCTCAGTTGGCTCTTGAACAGTTGCCCTGGGCCATCATCTCAGCCATTTTTTTCAAGAAGAGAAGTAGGGTTCACAGTGCATAGTGCTTTCCTGCTTTACAAAGAGCTCCCTGCTAAGGCTTATCCATAGCTTGTTAGGCAGGTGGATCCTCCTCAGATTAGCAGCAGCCCAGATAGAAGTGGCTCCAGGACTCAGAGCTGGTTCTATCTCCATCGTTCCTAATCTTCCAAATTTTGAGTTGGTCTGCTCATTGTTGTCAGCACACCAAGCCACCATTTTCCTACTGACCCTCACAGAGGAGCAAGAGCTCCTCAGCAGTGGGTAGACTTTTCTCGGGGCATAGTAATTACATTATTATAGTACACATCTCTTTATGTCTCAAAATATTAAAGCAACACTATAAAGCCATAACATACAAAACTCCCACCCAGACTGCAGAGGTAGTCACAAATATACAAGATGGAATGAGGCACTATCTTAGAATTAAGCATAGATAAAAGCCATTAGTCCAGTAATTGGGAGTTCTACATAAAACACAATGTATAAAATTAAGAAAAGAAGGCTGAATCTGAAACAGGAGGTGTTAGTCTTAAACATTATTCCTGAGCCAGGAGCCAGTCAGGTGAGCATGGCCCACAAGTGTGCTCTGAGATGAAAAGAAGCAGTTAAAATCTGCTCCTAGTGTAGGGAGCAGAACTGGCATTATAGGGAGGCTCTCTCATTTAGAGGGAGCCCTGGAGAGCCTGTTATTATTAGTGGCAATAATAATGTTAATGGACAAGAAAAAGGTAAGCCAAAATTTGAAAGGGAAGGCATATAAACAATGGATGGACTTTACTCTTTAATTAAAACTGTGTAGTACTGTTGTTCGCCTGAAGCTGTCTTCGAAATGTTAACACACTGGGCTTCATCAGATCTTTTCGTTTCATGGTACCGTACTCTGGAAAAATAAAAAGAAGGGTAATTGGGTGAGATTTTACAATCGAGCCACTTTCTTTTTCTAGATTTCAGAGGTAGAGGAGAATATAGGGGCCATTGCAATAGGCAACAAGGAGAAACCGTTGAAGAGAGAGGTGGAGATGTGCTGTTCATGCTTCCTTCACGTAACTACCCTTTATCGTTGTCTCTTCCTGCCCCTGCCATATGTTGATTCCTTGCTGCCTTCTCTCTGCAGTCTCTTCTGGATCACATCTGAACTGAGTCTAAAAGGGCAGGCAAGGTCTCAGCACCCGGGCTCAACATCCCGGATTCCTACATTCACAGCAACTTGTGTATTCAGGTAAATGCTGGGAACTCTGGGGCTGTTGACCCTGGGGTTATGACTGTATCTTTGTGACCAGGCTTTAGATTTAGGATTGCCTGACCCCATGACTCTGTGGCCAGAGCCTGGATATTCTTGAGAGCCCTGGTCCTCAGGGAGGATGGAGGTACAGATAATCTGATTTTATCACGTTGGAATCTTAATGTATTCTTTCATGCACACATTCATTCTTTCCACACCTATTTATTACAATAGCCAAGATATGGAAACCACCTAAGTGTCCATTGATAGATGAATAGATAAAAAATTTGTGGTATATACATATAGTGGAATATGATTCAGCCATAAAAATATGTGAGATTTCACCATTTGTAACAGGATGGGTGGACCTTGAAAGCATTATAAGGGAAATAAGTCAGAGAGAGATAAATGCCATATGATCTCTCCTATATGTAGAATCTAAAAATAAGTAATAAGGATCCCTGGGTGGTGCAGCGGTTTGGCGCCTGCCTTTGGCCCAGGGCGCGATCCTGGAGACCCGGGATCGAATCCCACGTCAGGCTCCCGGTGCATGGAGCCTGCTTCTCCCTCTGCCTGTGTCTCTGCCTTTTCTCTCTCTCTCTCTCTATGACTATTGTAAATAAATAAAAAGAAATTAAAAAAAATAAAAATAAGTAATAAAAAAAAACCCTACCTCATAGACACAGAGAGGAGATTGGTGGTTGCCAGAAGTAGGAGGGGAGGAGTAGGAAGGGTGAAAGAATGGATGAACTCTTTTTGTTCTTAGTTTGAATAAACTGTAAAAACAACTGAAAACCTGAACTCTTAAAAAAAGAAAAAAGAAAAAAGGGCAGCCCGGGTGGCTCAGCGGTTTAGCGCCGCCTTCAGCCCAGGGTAGGAGACCTGGGATTGGGTCCCATGTCAGGCTCCCTGCATGGAGCCTGCTTCTCCCTCTGCTTGTGTCTGTTCCTCTCTCTGTGTGTGTGTGTCTCATGAATAAATAAATAAAATCTTTTTTTTAAAGTTTTTTTTTAATTTTTATTTATTTATGATAGGCACACAGTGAGAGAGAGAGAGGCAGAAACACAGGCAGAGGGAGAAGCAGGCTCCATGCACCGGGAGCCCGACATGGGATTCGATCCCGGGTCTACAGGATCGCGCCCTGTGCCAAAGGCAGGCGCCAAACCGCTGCGCCACCCAGGGATCCCTAAATAAAATCTTAAAAAAAAAAAAAAAACACCTCACCACATTTTGTCTTCTCTAGCCTGTAGTGTGTGGACAAAAGAGAATATAAAGGAGAGGATATACACATTTCCCCTTGACATATTTAGGGTTGCTTAATTGGATTTGATTAGGTAAAGAATCTAGAAAGTAAGCAAATACATGAAAAAATAAATAAAAACCAAACAACTTATAATACTGCTCAACTGAAAGCAAATGTAAGAGAAGCTAAGCCCCCAATGAATAGCATTTATGTTTCCATGAAACTCTTTTAAAAAAAAAAAGATTTTATTTATTTATTCATGAGAGACACAGATAGAAAGAGGCAGAGACACAGGCAGAGGAAGCAGGCTCCATGCACCGGGAGCCCGATGTGGGACTCGATCCCGGGTCTCCAGGATCATGCCCTGGGCCGAAGGCGGCCCTAAACCGCTGAACCAGCAGGTTGCCTTGAAACTCTTTTTTTTAACAGGTTATATATTTATCAGACCACTACAGTGTACATTTTATGAATAAGTCCTGTCAGTAGATGCCATGAAAATTAAAACAACAGAAAATTGTTAGTGTTATAAAAAGGCTACTTTCTGTGGATCAAAAAATACCTGCTGCTACAACTTCACAGTAGGAAAAAATTTATTGAGCATGTACTATGCACCCTGCACTGTGGTAGGTGCCGGCAGCAATGTTAAGCTTAACTGATATGATCCCTACCCTCTATAAAGTTTGGTATAGTTCATAGAGTTTAATAGTGTAATTACACAAAAATGTAAGTATTACCTGGTGTTATGAAGAAAAAGCATAGGGATCCAAATGACACTATAACAGGCTAACATAATGTAGTTTAAGAAAGGTGGTTTTTTGGTTTTTGTTTTCTTTTTTTAGAAGTTCAGCTTGAACCAAGATCTGAAGAATGAGGCAAAAAAGTGGCAGAAGAAGATTCCAAGAAGGGGGCATAGCAGGTGCAAAGACACTGAAGCTAAAGAAACACGTTATCACTCCTCACTTATCTATTCATTCCACGCTTGTAGGATTCCCACTAGTCCAGGCACCATGATAGGTGCTGGGGTTACCATGGTGAGTAATACACAACCCATGCACACCACACAGACCCCTTTGGTATTAATTTTTTACTTTACCTTGACTGGGCTTGCCCCCCTTGAGCATTGTGCATTGGACCTCCTGTCATCCATTTATAGCTAGAACATTTCTTTCCAGATCCTAACTGGTCTCACTTTCGTTTCCCTCTCCATTAGTTCATGTCTGCTGAGGTCTCAGCATGCCTCAGACTTAACTGATGGTTAAGTTATAAATCCTATGGAGATGATACCTCTATCAGCAATGTTGTAAGGTCAGGACTCACCTTTCCTTGGTCTGCTCACTTTCTTTTCTCTCCACTTTGTTGGTTTCTGAAAGAGAGCAAAACAACTTCAGAAAATGTATTGCCTATAGATAGTAAAAGAAAGTTTGAAGAGAATCCAAAGCCCTAGGACTCAGAAAGAAGTCGTTGTGGCCTTATATGTGGAATAGATGGTTACTTGATGCAGTTTCAGGGGGACTGAGGAGTTTTTTGCATCCAAAAAGCAAATGCCTTCCTTTATTCACTGTGTCTTAATTTCTAATGTTGGAAATAGGTTTTTCACTTATAGCTCTATTCTTTACTGAAATAAAAATACTGCTGGGAGGGGTAACACACTTAGTTTTAGTAATCATTTAGTGATTGGAAAAGTTTTCGATCTCTTTCTGAAAGTAAGGTTTAAAAGGAGAAAGAAAAGGAAATCTTGACGATGGTGAAGTCTAAATGGGTGAGTTAGCGGCACTACCAACATGATACAGTGTGGCATAGATGGGCCCGAGTGGGATATCTCTAACTGGTTAGACCTTCCATAGCCTGAGTGGTCACTGGTATGGGCTTACCACTGGCACAATTTAGGGTTTAAATTCCTTTAGGCTGACTATTCTGATAGTGCTTTTGCCCCACACAGAGCCTTGTAGCAGAGTTGTTAACCTGGGTGTCCATGGAAGACTTTAGGGAATAAAAAAACACCCTTGATGGTTTTGAACACTTGCTGCCATTGGCTCAGGGATGGACACATGTGTGTATGTTAAAAAAATCAGCTTTATGGAAGCATAATTTAATGTGCAATAAAATCCAATAATTTTCTGTATAGATGTTGGTGAGCTTAGCAAATGTATACTACACTCATGTAACTACCACCATAGCCAAGATATAGAACATTTATATAAGACTCAAAAGTGCCCCCTTTCCCCTTTTCAGTCAGTATCTTTCTCCTATCCCATCCCCTGATAACTACTGATCTGGTTGATGTCACAATAATTTTGCTTTTTAGAAAATTTTATAATTCTGGGATCCCTGGGTGGCGCAGCGGTTTGGCGCCTGCCTTTGGCCCAGGGCGCGATCCTGGAGACGCGGGATCGAGTCCCACGTCGGGCTCCCGGTGCGTGGAGCCTGCTTCTCCCTCTGCCTGTGTCTCTGCCTCTCTCTCTCTCTCTGTGTGACTATCATAAATAAATAAAAATTTAAAAAAAATTATAATTCTAAATAATCATAAATGTGTGGTCATGTGGTCTTTTTGGGCCTGGTATCTTTCTCCTAGCATACTGTTTTGGTTTTTTTTTTTTTTTCACCATAGAGCTACTTTAATGAACTGTTTTAGAAAATTCTAAATATTATCTGATTTATATAAGTTTAAAACCTATTGGAAACACAAAACATGATACAACTATACTACAAATTTAGACGAAATGCTCGGAAAATGCACAATTTCCTGTTATATTCTTCAAAGGAAAACACAGTTATGAATTTTATATTTGCTATTTGATATCCTAAGGCAATTCTAGATTTGATATTTGCAAAGAAAATCACTTTGATTGACTGTCCTCTTCTCGGCTGGTATCTCCAAAGGACTAGTAGCCAAGATCTATGAAGAACTTATCAAACTCAACACCCAAAACAACGAACAATCCAGTCATGAAATGGGTAGAAGAAGACATGAATAGACATTTCCCCAAAAAAGATATGCAAATGGCCAACAGACACGTGAAGAAATTTTCAACGTCACTCAACATCATGGAAATATAAATCAAAACCACAATGAGATGCCACCTCACGCCTGTCAGAATGGTGAAAATTAACAACATGGGAAATGACAGATGTTGAGGATGCAGAGGAAGGGGAGCCCTCCTACGCTGTCGGTGGGAACACAAGCCCTCTGGAGAACAGTATCGAGGTAGTATACTGCTTTTGAGGTAAATCCATGTTGTTGCGTATTACTAGCAGTCCGTTCCTTTCCATAGGTCAGCAGTATTTTGTTGTATGAACATATTACCATTTGTTTATCCATTCACCAGCTGATGAAAATTTAGGATGCCCGGCTTTCAGTACTATGGAGAAAGCTGCTATGGACAGTTGTGTGTGTGTCTTTGTGAGGACATATGTTTTTATTTCTCATGGGCAAATATCTCAGACTGCTGGGTTGTGTGACACTGCATGAGAGTTTCAGTTGTTCACAACTTCTCCAGTACTTGATATTTACCTTTTAATTTTAGTCATGTTGGTGGGTATGTATCTTATTATAGCTTTAACTTGTATTTCCCTAATGATGTTGTGACTGTGTGACTGTGCTTATTGGCCATTTGTGTACTTTCTTCTATGAAGTATGTGTTCAAGTCTTTTGCTCCCAGCCTTTTTTTAAATGGATTATCTTCTTTACTGGGTAGTAACATATAGTCGAATGTTATGGATACGTGTCCTTTTGAGATATGTATTTTGCAAACATTTCCCCCCAGCCTGTGGCTTGAATTTTATTTTTTTAAACAAAGTCGAAGGGCAAAGGTTTCTCATTTTGATGAAGCACACTTTATCACTTTTTACTTTTTATGATATGCTTTGTGCTTACTGTGTCCTAAGATCGGCCTAGCCTAAGATCACAAAGATTTTCTCCAATTTTTTTTAAGTCTTTTAATTTTAGCTCTTATTTTTAGGTCTATCATCCATTTCAAGTTATTTTTTGTGTGTTGAGGTTTATATTTTTCCATGTGGATATCTAATTGTCCCAAAACCATTGTTGAAAAAACTACCTTTTTCTGCATGGAATTACCTTGGCTCCTTTGTCCAAATCAGTTGACCATGTGAGTTTACTTTTTGATTATCCATCTTGTTCCATTGATTGGTATGTCTGTGCTTTCACCAATATCACACTGTCTTGATGACTATAGCTATACAGTAAATCTTGAAATTAGGTAGTATAAGTCATCTGTGTTTGATCTTGTTTTCAGAATTGTTTGGCAATTGTATGTCTTTTGCATTTCCACATAACTTTTAGAATTAGCTTTTTAATGTACATTGAAAAGCCTGCCAGGATTCTTATTGGTATGTCATTGAATTCATAGATCAGTTTGGGCTGAATTGATGTCTTCTTTTTTAAAAGATTTTATTTATTTATTTGAGAGAGAGAGAGCGAGCAGGAGCAGGGAGGAGGGGCAAAGGGAGAGGGAGAAGCAACTCCTCACTTAGCAGGGAGCCTGACATGGAGCTCCATCCCAGGACCCCGAGATCATGACCTGAGCCGAAGGCAGACGCTTAACTGACTGAGCCACCCAGCCGCCACGTGATATCTTATTATCTACTCTTCTGATCCATGAACATAGCATATTTCTCCATTTATTTAGGTCTACTTTAACTTCTGTCAGTAGACATGTCTTTTAGTTTTTAGTATATAGGTCTTATATTTGTTTTTAAAAACTTACTCCCTAGCTTTTAATATTATTTGATGCTGCTATAAATGGTATTTAAATTTTTTTTGCAGTGTCCAAATTGTTTGTTGTGAGTATATAGAAAAATAACTGATTTTGACTTTGTGTACTGACCTTATATCTATCTGGAGACTTAGCTACATGCAATTAGTTCTAATAGCTTTTCATGGATGCCTTTGGCTTTTCTACAAACACGGTCACGTTATCTGTGAAAAAAAGACATTTTACTTCTTGCCTTCCAATATGTAGGCATTTTTTTTTCCTAGACTGGAAACCTGGCTAGGACCTTCAGTACAATGATGAAGAAATATAGTGAGAGTGATAGCCTTGCCTCTTTCCTGATCTTATGGGGAAAGTGGTCTGTCTTTTATTATTAAATATGATGCTTACTGAAGGATTTTGGTATATGTCCTTTGTCAGATTGAGGAAGTTCCTCTATATTCCTATTTTTATGAGAGTTTTTCTTTCTTTTTAAAATTATGAATGAGTATCAATTTTGCCAAATGCCTTTTTGTATCCACTGACATGATTACATGTTTTTTCTCTTTGGATGGTCAATATTGTGAATTTTATTGCTTGATTTCTGTATATTGAACCTATCTCATATTCCCGGAATAAACCCCACTTGATCGTGATGTATCATACTTTTAATAGATTGCTAGATGGTAGTTGGTAATTTTTTAAAGGATTTTGCCGTCTATTTTCACAAAATATATGTGTAGTGTCCTTTTCTTGTAATGTCTTTTTCCAGTTTTAGTATCAGGGCTCCCCTACTTTTAGAGCAACTTGGAAACTGACTCCAGGCAGTAAGTTGGAGGCAATCATAGGGCTTACCTCATCTTTTCCCTTCTTTCAGGGACTAGTTCTCTATAGCTTATTGTCCAACGCCTGAAAATAGTTGTTTCATATTTTTATCTGACTTCTAGTTGTTTACAGTAGGAAGGAAATTCCTGTAGCAGTTAATCCTTCATAGGAGGAAGAAATTTGTGTCTTCTATATAATTTTTAAAGAGCCTTAACTGTTGCAAAACTCAGTCTTATTTCCTTACATCTTCTCATATAATCTTCATGCATTGAGATGCCCTTTGGAGCCCAGTTAAATGTGATCTTTGTACCATATGGCAGCTCTTCAGCTATTTGAAGGGAACACTTTTCTCCTCCCCAGCACTTCATTTCTGGCTAAGCATTCTCAGTTACTTGAACTAATTTGACTAAGCTTCTAGACACTTTATAAATCTGATTAGGTTCTATTTTTTCAGTTTTTTAAAAATGTTTATTTATAACTGAATATAGTATTTCAGATGTCTGTAGACCAACATAGAATATTTATGTTGTCCTTTCATCCCCATGACAAAATCATCACCATTAAAAAAAAAAAGTTTCTATTTTAAAATGAAAGCAGACAATAAAAAGGCAGATTCTAAACTTGTGGATTTGATTACAAATTTAGCATTTTGAAGACCAGGTGTGATGATATCATCAACTTTCAGTTTTTATGTCCTGGGAAGGTTTCTGTCTAAATTGTGGTTAAAATTATTTATTTCAGAAAAGATACTTGCCCTTTAAGAAATCATTCCTGAAAGAGCCGAGACTCACTCAGGTTTGGTGGAGGGCGACAAACTGTAAAAACTGTTAGTTGCTAGGGCTCTATTATATACAGATTTCAGTCACAGAAGACCTAAATGAGGAAGTACAAATTCAGGAGGAGCTATTTTAGTCTCTCTCCCTGATGGGTAAACTGATGGGGTAACTTCTGATTGGGAAAAGACTGTTAATTCAAGGTTACAATTTCTCATGCCTAATCTGCCCTATTTGACAAATCAAGAAAGAGAAGAGAGATTAGAAACCAGTTAGTATAACTGTGGCATTTCCCTTTTATTCATTTAACAGCATTAACAGAGTAAATGTGGATGGTTGGGGTATAGGAAAACTATAATTACTGAACACACACTGTAAAAGACTTTCAATGCCAAGTTAGTTTGAAGCTGAGAAACTAATTAATATTGGACTAGGAGGGAGATCCATGTTTGGAGGCATTCCAATTGGTGTCAGTAAGCTTATGTCTCTGTGGATGGGTCATGACTGCTTCCATGTCTGTTTGTCAGCAGAATTTAGTTCCTTGTGGTTGTATGACTGAGATCTCCATTTCCTAGCCAGCTCTCAGCTGAGGGCCGGTTGCAGATTCTAGAGGCCCCTCACATTCCTTGTCTCATGGCCCCTTCCTCCATCTTCAAAGCTAGAGATGGTGAGTTAACCCTGTCTCAAGATTTGGATCTCTCCATTTCATCTCTCTAACCCAGCCTGGGAAATGTTCTCTGACTCATGTGATTAGATTGGGCCCATCAGGGTAATCCAGGATAATCTCATCATTTTAAAGACAGTACCTTAAGTACATATGCAAAGTCCCTTTTGCCATGTAAGATAATTTATCATAGGTTCCATAAATAGGAGATGGACATCTTGCCGGAGGGCACTATTCAGTCTATCACATAGACAATGCCAAAAGTCTCCACAAAGCAAGTACAGACACTGCTGAATTGCAGAACCCAAATTTACAAACATGTCTACATGACATAGTTACTTGGTATATCTTCCTCCTCCAGTGATATCAAGACTCTTCTCTTTGACCAAACTCACTAGCACAGGTGACTGTCTACCAAACCTTTCCTAGCAATATTCTTTATCACATTCTTGGGGGAAGGAGGTCATGTATGTGCTATACTCTCTTACTATATTCTCTCTTTTACCCCTCATAGCTCAATATGACCATTTCATATGCATACACACAGCTTCTTGAACCCCCTTTCAGCTTCTTCCATGTGTATACACGTATCCTCTTTAACTCTTTTATCTAGCCCCCTGAATTTTTCTGATTGCCTCTTGGGGGAAGAAACATTCTTACTTCCTTTTTCTCCATCTCTTGTTCTTTGTTTCATTTATAAGCTAATCATCCCAGTATGAGAGCAAATTTAGAAAACAGCTTATTTCCAAGCTGAAGGCTGCTTCTGCACATTTAGCTAATTCTAAATGGCAATGAGATTAAAAGACTCAAAATTCTCACCTTGAAAAGTCAAAGCTTTGATAAACATGATATATCTGTACATCTTGCCCTGTGCTCTGAATTTTACACTTTTATATCATAGAAATCTTTTATTATATCAGCACACCCCATACTTTGGCAGTTTGAATATGACTCTACCATAGGCTTGTATTCATTTATTGAAATTGGATAATCACTCCCCAGTTGCCTGTTTTTAAAATACAGTAGGATGAAATGAGTAACTGCTAATGTCATCCTTCTATTTTCTAGTGGATCCTAAAAGCAGTCCACTAACATTTAAAAAAAGATGCTGATCAGAAGCATTACTCATCTGGTGCTTTTTACCAAAGTGAGTAAGAAGGTTACCTTAATTATTAGCACCAACCAGACTTCTACTACAGGCATTACTGAGATAAAGTCCAAACTTACCTTGCAACTTTGCCCAAACAAGCCCAAAGAACAAAGAGGCATAAGATTATTATAAAATCAGGAACCTCTTTGTCCCTCACTAAGCACAGTGCCATTTTTACAAAAGCCAATGAGGAGGCTGCTCAGTGCAGTGCTGTTTACAACAGCAAAACAACGGTAACAAACAAAATGTCCTACAATGTGGAGTTAGTTAAATAAATTAAGATGTATCCACAAAATGGAGTATCTCACAGCCACTTAAAATAATGCTATAGGATGATACTTAATGACCCTGAAAATTTTCTCACTATGTTTAGTACAAATAAATTAGAAAACAGTATATGTGATATTATCTAAACTGTGAAAAACAGTCCGTATGATATTATTCCTTATGGAAAATAACATAGATTCCAGAAAAATCTGGAGGATATACTCTAAAATATTGTCTGTATAACCATTTCTCTCTTACTAGTAGAACTATAGATAATTTTTTTATCATATTTGGTAATGGGTATGTAATACTTGGTAATCAATAAAAGTTAATATTATTTTTAAAAAGTCATTAGGGAACAATTCATCCCACTTTTTTTTCCTGAGAAACCTAGACTTTCTTTTAAAGATGAGAAAGTGAATCTTGTGGTCATCTAATCCTCCTCTCCCACCACCAAGCTTCCCTGCTTGAACACTGCCAGGTCCACAGTCATTAACATTTAGAAGTCTTGTCACAATTTTACTTCATTGAATTTTCACAGTAACCTCATGAAGTGGGGTAGTTAAAGCAAGGAATAATCAGCTTTGTCTGGAAACCTGAAGTACGTTTATAGAACTTAGGTTAGAAATGTTGCCTCTCCTAGAAATCCAGAGCAATGTTGAGCCCATCTATATGGGCTCCAAACTCTTGAGGGAAAACCTTCTCCTCCAACCACTCCCTGACTTTTTGCTAATCTGAGCTCAGCCAATGAGCTTCAGAAGGCAGCTGACAGGAGGTAGCTGCAAAATGGCAATCTGCAGAGAGGACAAGCACTGACTCACCACATTCATGAGAGGGGCCAGGCTGCTTCTTCTTCCTTTTCCTTAGTGTTAGAAAGAACACCATCCCACACAAAATGACCAACATTACAAGCAGAGCCGCAATCCAGAGGATGTGGTCTCCATCAGGGGTGGGTTTCGTATGTGCATCTAGAAATGACCATAAGTTTCCAATCAGCCAGGAAAATTAATTATAAAAGGCTTATAATTACTATTGTCTTCATTTACAAATCAGCATCTCCCCAGGGCTCTACTGCCAGAGGAGCCTGAAATCTGCAATATGAGGCCATAGAAAGACCCAGGCTTAGGGCCTTAGCAGCTTAGAATGAAACCAGTGCTTCTGGCCAAATGCCTGGACTAAGCTGCCTTCCCTTCCCAGAGGTTGGGATGACAATGATCATGATCTAGAAGAAGAAAGTCAACCTGGCCCTTGTTTTCTGCCTATGGGTGTGGTACCCATGCTGGAGCTTTGAATGTGTAGTCATCTGTGCAACACCCTGCTTCCTCGGCCCATGTCCTGGGCCATGAGCTCAGCCTGGGGTCCTAAAGTTTCCCCTGTAATAATTTCTCCATCCACTATCATCTCTAGATCAGGCTCCAGACATACCTCATTTGGACAAATATCACAGCCTTCTAATTCCAGTTTTGCTTGTTTGTTTGTTTTCTCATCTGAGGTCACAGTGGAAGAGGCAAGGCTTTCACAAGGTACCACCTACTAGAAAATCTTTGTTATCTCTTCGTGCCCAGAGGAATCATGGTTAGGATCAGCTCCTGGGAAGTCAAGACTTTCTTCCTTGCAAGGGGACTTCTAAGTTTCCAGGAAGTTGAAAAACAGATTTTTTGGGGGGAAAGCTTAGAACTGAGTGGCCCATTTTATAGACATTTATGGGAATAATTCTGATAGTTAATCTCAAATTACAGGAAAAGAGTACCAGCTGACCTATTAGTTTAGCTGCAATTTGTGGACACATGTCCCCATTCCTGGGATATTAAGAAAAGGAGTTGCTGCATTGCAGGTGTATTCGACACTTTTTGAATCTGTCCCCATTTTGTCCCAACTGAGCCTGTTTGGCATTCCTAGTAAAAGGAGGATTATACTTGATAACATGGAGACTGCTGCTACCTTTAGACATCCAAAAATATACCGTGATTCAGAGTCTATGCTATCTCTGCCAAGCCATAGAACAAAGATACAGAGAGCCAAGGCCCTGGCTTCCTCAGGTAGTTGGAGCTGAAATGTTTCTGAAGATGGTGGTGGCTGGGAAGGTTTGGGCAGTAGTTGATAGACAGCAGAAAGGTGAGCCATGAAGAAACTGCAGGGATGGCAAGGCCAGATTGATTCACTTGTAGACTGTGGGAGCCATGGCAGAGGAAGCCACGACAGAAGGCCCCAAGGCAAGTCACTGGTGTTACTGGCTCCAGACAGGTGCTGAACCTCAGGGATAGCTTGAGAGAGGCTTCTACTAGGCCAAGCCCTCTCAGTAGGAGCAACCAGGACAGGCTGTATGGCCTAACTACTTACTGCGCTCTCAGAGGCAGAGATGTCTTAGCAAAAGGAAATCAGTACCAAGAGAAGGGATTGAGACACGCTGGTAAAGCTTACTGCTAGGGATTGCTCCAGGGGCTGTCCAAAAGAATGCATCCATAGGCCAAGTTATGTCTAAACAATGAGACACCAAGAGAAAGGAAGCAGCAAAGTTAGGGGATGAAGCAAGGAGTTGGATGGATGCCTTAGGAGAGAGAAACCAAACGGCCAGAATTGGAGAAGGGGCCAAGGTTAGCGGAAGGCAGATGTGTGGGAAGAGAGGAGCCAGGATCAAAAGAAGCAGTGATAGTGGCCGTGCGGGTACAGAATGCCTTTATTCCAGGAGAGAATCTTGCAGTTATTGCTCCTCAAAAGTGAGGTTGCAAATATGGATGCCCTTCCTCCAGGGCAAAGCCAGGACTTCAAAATGTCCTGCTTCTATTAGCAGACACTGCTTAGTTTTGTCCCTTTCCTCCAGCTGGACTGGACCCTATACTATGCACTGTCAACATGCCACGAGAATTTCTGCTTCTTAGTCTTTGCTTGACACCTGTGCCCATATAAAATACTGTTAATTGATTTTGGTCCTCTCACCTTCTAAGCCTGGATGCATCTGAGAATTTTTCTTTCTGTTCAGGAAACCACAAGTCTGATACCTGTCAGCTCTTCACCATACTTTTAAAGTTCAGTTATCTTTTATGGTATTTTAAAGTCCCATTTCCTTTAGGAAGACTTCCCTGGCCCTCAAGGAACCTATCTACCTCCAAATATCTATAAAACTGATTTTCAGTCACTCCTGTTTTTAAATTTAGTTGCATATTTCTGTGGGATGTGGTTTAGGTTCCAATTCAGTCTTTTTAAAAATGCAGTTTTCCATGTGTGTACATCATGGAGTTCTGATTCTATTGGAAAGTCCTTGAGGGCAGAGAAGCATGTCTTATACATTTTAGGTTTCACACTTGAAGCCAACAACATCTAGAAAAGTTCTGTACTTAGGGCATGTACTATATGTATATATGTATGTATGTATGATGACGACGATGACGATGTGTGTGTGTGTGTGTGTGTGTGTGTGTGTGTGTGTGTGTGAATCTTCTATCCAAAGGTAGTCCAAAAGACTGGGTCAGTTTCAGGGCTAACAGCATACTTTCTCAAGTGCAGCGTATGTTCATAGTCTCCAGGACCCTATAGCACTCAGATGAAGAGAGGAGCCCTCCATCTAGTTCATTCCTAAAAGTACCACAAAAATGGCCCTGTTTGAAGCTCCCTGGTAAGCAGGGCACACTGAATGATCTTCCTCAACCATTAGGGTATAATATCTGACGAAAGAAATAGTCTTGGGAAGCGGCTTTACCTATATTGTAAGGTAGGGAGGAAAGCTTCATTGACTCAAGTTGCAGGACACAGAAGATGCTCACATTTCTTGCTTCAGGGACTGAGAAGGACAAGCTGATAGAAACGTTGTACAGTTCTGTGACATTATTTTGAGATTTCTTCATGACAGTATCATACTTAGTACTTGAATTCTCGGTTTTTACCAAAAAATACATTTCCTTGGGTTCTGGGTAACCTTGTATGGATGAGCAGGTCAAATTTATGATGCCAGAATTTTCTGTTCTGTTAGAAGTTACCATTATTTCAGGTTGACTGAAGTTAGCTGAAAGCAGAATAAAGATACAAAAAAAAAAAAAAGAAAGAAAGAAAAGAAATCAGTGTAAATTTAAATATATCTAAAGAGAACTGTAAATATCTGACTCTGATCTGGAAACTTACTGGGGGCACTTGGGAGCCTCTCAGTGTCTAAACTGTGGGCCTCAGCCCATGGTGAGAGCCACATAATGACCCCACGTTTATTTTTCAAGAATGGAGTTTGGGCCATGCTTACTTCCTGCTTACCCAAATCGGGGAGGAGGGGGTGCTCTCTGAGTGACAGGAGGGCTGAAGTTGAGTCACCAAAGATTCACAATGAGGCCATTGTTCTGAGGAGTGGAGTCTTGGGACGGAGAAGTGGTCTGACTTTAGAACCCAGCTGTCTCGTGGGGTATGTTCCAACTTGCCAGACTAAGGAAGCAGAAAGGGACTGATACCAACAGAGTTCATTGTGCTGGCATGCTCTGGGCCACATCTTCTAGAAACCCAAGCAGGATTGTGGAGGGTGAGTGTATTTGGGGTTTAGAAGTTCAGAATATTGGTTTTGGGAATGACTGTCAAACTTTCTTCATCATATACTGTAAGATGAAGGCCAAACCCAGCCATTTTCAGGGAAAATGTATGAGCTTGGTAAACCCAGAGCTGCTCTCGCCTTGGTCTGGCATTCAGATTTTGATGTCTGTCAAGGATCACTGGCCCCTTCTGCTAGTCAAATCCCCTGTTATTCTTCTATAGTTGATGGGTAGTTTTCAGGTTCTACATACTAATTTATAATTTACTTTATTGCCTCTAAAACAAGTGATTTGTATGTCATCTTTCTAAGTTTTGCTGTATCAACATGCTACCTAAGTACTCTGCTTATACTTCATGTGGTCTGTAGAAGGTGGATTATCAGGGTGCTACTTTGGCCTCCTTAGCAATATCTGTGAAATCACAGGTTGGCTAAGTTAGTTATTGCTTTTCCTAATACATTAAAATAAGCATAAAATTGTTAAAATAAAAAAATGATCATGTCCCACCTAAACATACCATATTCCTCAGTGGTATCTGGCCCTACCTTGAAAACACTTATTTATCACTTGCTAAAATGTTCCAAAAGTCCTGCAGCCTACGTTGAGTCACAAAAGGCTTAAAGGGAGGGCTCCTCATTCTATTTCTACTTTTGCCTTTGCTTTACTTCATGGTTTCAGAATCATTGTTGATCTGCCTTTTACAGTTTCATCAAAAGTTAACCTGAACCTGGTAATCGCACACCTGGGTATCTGCCTTAGGGAAATGAATAAAGCATTTTATAATGTTTACAGCAGCTATTTATAATAGCACCAAACTGAAAAAAATCCCAATGTCTTTCCAGGGGTTGAGTGGATAAAATAGAATGCTCCTCAGTAATAACAAGGAACAGGCTTTTGATACACGGGACAACTGAGGTAAATCCCAAAGGCATTATGCTGAATAAAAGAAGCCAGTCTTAAAGGTTACATACATTTATGCGGTGTTCTCAAAAAGATTAAGGCTGTAGGATGTAAAACAGGGGTTGTGGGTACGGAGAAGGTATCATTATAAAGCAACAGTGTGAGGAAATTTTTTTAGGATGATGGAAATGTTTTGTGCCCTATTTATAGTGGTGGTTACATAAATCTATACATATTTTTAAATTAACAGAATTGTACATCAAAATAAAAATAACTAATTTTACTGCATTCTAATAAAAAAAAAAGTCTGTAGTGGTATTTAGGCTTTTCAAGGCCTGGAAAAAAAGAGGAGCTGATTTGTCAGTCTGAGGATTATGTGCACTGGGTTATTTCCCTTCCATCTATGGGGCTCTTGGTTGGGCAGCAAACCACTCATAAGTGACCTCCAGGAGGCTGAAGGAAAAACCCAAATTAATCAGCTGTCACCTTTGGTAGGAGCTCTAGGCAAAGACTTAGTGGGTGAGAAATCTTGGACCAAAGGAAAAAAATGAATGTAAAAGAGATCTGAAGCCTGAACAGTTATGTGAACTTAATAATGGCCCAATTACCCATGGTTTTCCCTTAGCTACTTTAACTTTGTTCAGTTAGCTCTAGTTTTTCCCCAAAGCAGATTCTTATCCTTCAAAAGCAAACTATAAAAAAACAAAGGATTTTCAGTTTCCTATCATCAAACTCTGCATTCCTTTCAAACGGACTTCCCAAAAATGGCTGTCTCCTGCCTTCTCTACCCGCACCATCCCCAACCCCCCACTCCTCCACCCGCCTCCCCCCAGATATCTCTGCTCTTTGCAGTCTCATCTGAGAAGGTCAAGGATCTGAATGTGCCATTGACTACATACCAAGCACTGATAGGTCAGAATTCATCTGGTGCATGGGAACGAGTCCTTTGGGCCCTTTATGATGAACGAAACATTGATACAAGCCCTTGTCCTTGATCTGAATGTTATGGAGTCTCAGGGTCCAATTGTCTTTGTCAAAGCTTGTGCGGCCCTTATACTTGCGATGAACATTTTGAGGGTTCTCTTTGCCTCTGTATAGCTCGTACAGAACCAGCTTATCCTGGTCCTGCCAAAACACTACCAACTCATCCAGGCTTATGTTCTGAGAATTTGTAAAATGGCATGGCAGTTCTCCAGTCTTGTTGAAATATGCTTGACTCTTCATGGAAGCAGCACCTAAAAAAGAAAAGGTAGAGATACAGGAGGGAGAAACAAGAAGGAAGAAGAAAAAAACAACTCCATTTCTCTTTATACAATACCCAGATGCTATCTTATCAGTAATGATGCTGAAGAACTAGGTGTTAAACCCTGGAATGTGCATATATACCGGCATCTGGAGAATGGGACTTTTGTCTTCACTCCACTGCTACCTAAATGTGGGCCTTGTGCAAACTGCAGCCACTACAGGCTCACTTTCCTTATCAGTTTAATGAAGGGGTAGACTAAGTGTTCTAAGAATTTTTCTAATACTGTGGTTCTGTTGAATTTAAATCCCAGAACAGGAAAAGCCAGCAGACTTAGACAACACATTAGCCCATCTGTGAACTTTCCTATACCCTGAATACTGATTCTCCTCACTGTAGCTATTACAAGATCCATTACTTCTACACCATCACCAAAACCTCACCCTTCGCCTCCTTATCCCCTTATTTTTTGGCCTGCTACAGTGAAAAGATTTCTGATAATGGTAACAAATTTGATATCCCCCTTTCATTATGCTGGGTATCACATTGAGTAAGATCTCTGAAATTCAAAGAGTTCCCCTTATAGAGCTTTCCTCTTGAATGCTGCTTCCATGGCCAGCTTGCCCAAGGATGTAAAACAGTTTGGAGATGACACAGTCAACCAAAGCCTCTATTTTCAGTGACCTGGCTAAGCTCTTTCTGGGATCAGAAGGAGAACTGGGCCAATATGATGGTTGTTTTGGGATTGTGGTGGTCAGAGACCATTTAAGGTACATGAATGAGATGCTGGAAATGAATCATAGATGGGAAGGTGAGGATGTACTTTTGGAGTATTGGGGAAACCCCAGGTATGAGAAACTTGCTCTTCCCAGTATGCACTGCCACTGGAAATTTTTACAACCCCTGGAGGACATGCTGGGAGAGTTCAGAGAAAGACTTTCACCCCTGAGGACATACTGAAGTTTGTGGAAGAGATGTGTTCCACCTAACTCCTTAAATGGGATCAGTTATAGGGGCTTTTGTAGGATGTATTCTGGGTCACAAAATTACTTGAGGGTTGGCCAAGAAATTAAGTAGTAGTGAGTGAGAAGTGCAGGGTTAGTGGGAAATACTGTTTCTTAGTTAATACAAAGTTAAATGCGGCCCTGGGGAGAATATTAGGGTGGGTTTTGAATAAAGCTTCATCATTCAAGACTTCAGTGGAGAGTCCTTGACATTAAGGGGGAAAGGGGAGGTAGGTTGGTAACAGAGATGAGAGGAGTTTCCTTTGAGGTGTTCTTTGAGGGAGGTAGGAGAAATTAAATTGATTTGGTCAATGGGTTTCTCTTCTAAGAGGGAGTAGGACCAAGTAACAGTGACATGCACTTGGCAAAACTGAACTGTCCACGGTGTGGCCCAGTGAGAACACATAATCAAGGGGGTTGGCGGTGGTCTTGAAATCTAAGGGAAGAGGACTCCAGGCACCTGTGACAGTCGACACAAGTTCAAATCACTGCCTATTGCATTGGTGCTCATTAGAGCCTGTGAAGCACTCGGCAAGTATACAATGCGGCAAATGTACAGGATGTGTCCCTGTACATATCGGAGGGTGGTGGGAAAATTCACCTGAGTACCTGGAACTGTGAAAGGGGAACCTAAGGAAGATTCACTGTGTTCAGCAATTGCCTTACAAGGCAATCCTGGGGCTCCTGCTACTTCATTGCTAAATTCTGAATGGTAACGTAAGAGTGCCACCTGCTGTGAAAGCTTCTAGTAGCTGTATCTCTGGGGAAACACATTCTGGCTTTATCACTAATTTGCCATATAAATAGGGAGGATGACCTAAGGGAGAAACCAAACTCATAGTTGAAAATTATGCCAGTTAATGGTCAAGGTTATGTTATTGTTTAGTGGTCGATTACGCCTTCTGGGCTGGAAATGACTTGACCTTTGGCTTCTTCTGTCTTCTTGATTTATGACTGTTTCTCTGTAGAGCCTCACAAATATATTCTCTCCTTCCCACCCACTCTTTCCAAGAACAGACCAGTCTAAATTCTCTAAGGTCCCACCTCCCGAAGATTAGAAGGGCTTTCCTTACACCCATTCTCACTGCCCCACTCCTCACCTACCAATCAAAAGTGTGGTCTGTGTTCTAAAGGCAAGGGCATCACTAGGGGGCTGGTCAGAACTGTGGAATCTCTACCCCCATCCCCAACACACTCTGAGTCAGAATCTGCATTTTAAGGATGGCTCAGCTTCAGAAGCTATAAGAGGGGATCGCTGCTGGCCGTCTCCAGAGTAGAACAGAGAAGGTAATGATAGGAAAAGTTTGTTCCTATCTATCCCTCCTCCTTCTCCCCTCATTCTGGGGTGGAAATCACTCTGAGGTCCATTTTGAGTGGAACTGAAAATATTTCACAATTTACACTCTATAGTTCCTCACCAACCACTTTCTTCCATGACATCACTCGGAGCTATACTTGGTAGACATGCTAATTCTCTCTCTGATGATATGAGGAAGATTTAGCTCAAAGTCTAATTTTCCTAAGCAGCTTCAGGCCTCCCTGTTATGATTCCACATCTTAGGTTGCCCAGCTACTGGTTCCACTGGGACTCCATGGGTAGGTATACATTGAGATTCTCTCCTTGGCCTTGGAGATATACTTACTATCTCCAGTACTTGGGTAATAAAAAAGGTCTGGATCTATTTATAACGGGTTGCTGTGATCAGGTCAGGAGTTAGGCATTTAAGAATCCATCTAGACACCTCCCTAATCAGGTAGAAAAATTTGTTCCTTAGCAATATACTGTTTGAATGTTATACAAAACCTGTAGTCTTCTAACTTTGTGAGATCTCTGACTATACCTGAGACTTCAGTCTTCCCTGGCCACTACCCCAAATGCATGTCTTATACATTCAAGAACCATCTTTTTCTTATGTTACTATGGTTATCTGTATTCATAAATTTTTCCTCATTTACTAAACTTCCTTCAAAGCTAGGCCTTCTGGAAATCTCATTCCATTGTAATAAACTCCTCTACATCTTCAACCTCTCCATCAAATGTTGCCTCCAAGGTTATGCTTTTATTGAAATCTGGCCCTACCTAAAGGACACCACTTGTCCTCAGTCACTGCTTGTTGTAGCACACTTCACAGGGATTTAAGCAACAACATCCCTTCCATTTTGATGTCTCCACCTCTCTCACTGCTGTTAGCTACTAATCATTTGTCATTACTTCTTTATTCGTTGAGGATTTTTGGCAGTAGACGTAAGGTTCTTCTTTCTAGCCAACCATTACTATCAATTTGAACTATTTCAGCATGTGGATAAATTCACCAACAACCTTGCTTCAAAGTTCTTTGGTCTTTTCCATTCCAAAGATCTTCATCCACAGACTATTTCAGCAGCTTCTCTCCCATGACTATAACCCTGAACCTTTTCACCAAGAAGAACTCTGCATCTAATATCTTAAACTTCAACGTACCCATCTCTGTCCACAAGATATCTTCCTCCAAGATTTGCTCTTTATTACTCCACCAATATTTGTTATTTGACTTCATCAAGACCTCATCTCTATCCAGTTTAGTAGTGCGCTGTAGTGCAGTGCTTTCCAACAGGCCTCTCTGCAATGATGGAAATGTTCTATATTTGTGCTGACCAACATGATAGTCACCAGCCACTGTAGACATTGAGCACTTGATATGTAGCTAGTGTGACTGAGAAAGTGAATTTTTAATCTTTTAAAATTTTAATTATTTAAAATATAAATAGCCACATGTGGCTAGTGGCTATCATATTAGATAGCACAGCAATAGTATACCTTTCCAATCATTCTTTCTCTTGCCAATAAACTTGCTCCTTTGTGAAGAATTCATCCTAAGAACACTTCACTTTCGATCTACATAGTTATTCTTAAAACTAAATGTTTGAGCAATACTGGATGAAATTACTCAGTTGTTTAGGCTTGATGATATTACAAATCTGGACCCATCCCATGGGCTGGTTACCCTGCTTACTACCCTCTCCCTTCCTCATCACAATTACTTCGGCAGTTCTCTTTCCTATTGCTTTTAGTTTCTTTTTCTTTTATAGTCAAAGTCCCTGAAAGAGTAAGTGGCTGCCTCTATCCCCAGCCTCTGTCCTCTGCCTCTCTGCCAAAACTTCCTTCCCAAAGGTTGTCAGTGACTTTCCACCAATGCCAAATTCAGAGCTCTTTTCAGACCTCATGTCATTTGACCACTCTGTTGAATATCACAGTGTTGGGCTTATCTCCTTCTGGAAACTCTCTTTCCCATTTTGTGACCTCCTTGTCAGTTTTCTCTGATCATTCCTTAAATGCTGATTATCTCTGTTGCCTGTTCTCAATCTTCTTCCAACTCTCCACTTTTTTTTTTTTAAAGATTTTGTTTGTTTACTCATGAGAGACACACAGAGAGAGAGAGAGGCAGAGACACAGGCAGAGGGAGAAGCAGGCTCCATGTAGGGAGCCTGACATGGGACTCAATCCCGGGTCTCCAGGATCATGCCCTGGGCTGAAGGCGGTGCTAAACCACTAAGCCACCCAGGCTGCCCCAACTCTCCACTTTTCTGATTTTTCTCCTCTATCCCCATGGATTCAACTGCCACATATAAGCTAATAATTCACAGATGCTTATCTCCAGCCAGTCATTTTGACTAGGGTTCCAAATATCCACATTCAACTGTCTGCTGGATACTGCTGTTTACATAGCAGCAGATACTCTCTTTCTCCCCTAAGCTTTCCTGTCCTTCATCTCAGTGTAAGATTCCCCTCTTTGCTGTTGTCAGTACTTATTTGAATCATCTGTAGAAGAGACCCCCAAGAGAGGGTCTACACAGATGTGGCTGAGGAGATGTAGAACTATAACTAGAGCTGAACTCTGATATGGGAAAGAGAAGGGAGAGGAGACAGTATGAAGCAAAGAAAAGAGCAACCAGAGAAAAGGGGTTTTGTATTTATCCAGAGATCCTGGAGACATTATCATTTAAGTAT